ATTAGGTTCTATGGTTAACAATACGTGATTATTTTTAGAGGATGTCAATTGTATAAAGTACTGATAAATTAATTTAAATTAAACTAGTAAAATTACGTTTGAGCTACAGGTTATGGGCCGGGATAGTTTCAGAGTTAAAATTGATAATTTTGGGTAAAATATTAGAGTAAAATTTTGATTTTAAATTTCAACTAAGGTAAAAGCTCCAATTATTGACACTATAAGAGACAAAGTAATGATTTCATTTTTTTTAAGCAATCAAATATCAAATCGTTGAATTTTGTTTGTGGTAATGTCTCAAGTAATGTTTTTACTAATCAATTTCTTTTTTTAAAATGATAGTGATATTTACTAATTAATTTTAAATAATTAAATAGATTATCCGGATACACCAATTATTGACAGGTTAAAAAACTGATTGATCTAATTATTGACATACCTTAGCCCCAATTATTGACACCTATACTGCGCATGCCTAGAATCATCTGCTTATTCTTATTTATCGAAACTTATTATTAAGTAATCAATATTATTAAAGTTTATTAATAATAATTTCCATAAATGATTAATTACTATTAAAAATATAAAAATTAATTTAAAAATAATTTATTGAATCAGAAGAGTTCAAACTCTTACAGTAAATTTTTTAGATTAAAGTAAAAAAAATGCGTGATAGCGCTGTCGAATGGCTGTCAATATGAGATTCAACTTAAAAATTATCAACTAGTTATTGACACCCATTATTTAAATATTATAAAGCATACAATTAATTTTGATTATTCAATTTTATAAATTTTTCATATATTGTTAATTAAAAAAAAAGATCATATAATTAGATGAAGAAATTAATTTAAATTTGGCATTTAAAAAAATGCTTTTCTAACCAAAATTGTTAAGAAAATAGACGCTCGTAAGGTTTGATCTGGTGCTTTTATTTTTTTTTAATAATTAATATTTAATATTTTGAACTGAGTAATTTTTTTCAATTTTTTAATTAATTAGAATTTAATAAAAATTTATGATAGTTATTCTTATTACAGGTAATTAAATATATTTAAAAATAATTTAGGGTCTCAATATTTAGATCCCTGTCAATAATTAGCGCTCTTACCTTATTATTATTTTGACATAAAAACTTTTTTTGCGGCGAATTAATTTTCCTAAAAAAAAAAAATCTTATATTTCTTCCTTACACGGAAAGAACAAGATTATACTGGATAAAATCCCAGATTATACTGAGTGAAAAAAAATTTCAGATAGTAGCTAGTATAATTCAGATAACAATGAGTATAATCCAGATTACAAGGAGTATAATCGAGATATTATTCAGTATAATCTGGATTATACTAGCTACCATCTGAAATTTTTTTTCACCTCAGGTGTCACTGAGTATAATCTGAGATGGTATCCAATGTCATCTTGTTCTTTCCGTGTATCTTCAATATTTTATTTTTTTACAAAACTAAAACATTAAATTCTTATTAATGTAAAAAAGCTAATTAAGTTTTCATTTACTTAAATAAATAAAATGATAATTAATACATTTCAAAGATTAAATGCCCCGAAAAGGAAGTAATTTCGCAGGTGCAAGAGTTTATGTCTTCACTCTTGACTGGTAATTTTCTAGGCAATAAAAGGGCTGAAAAAAAAAAAAGGTGAGCTACAAATAAATACCCAGCCCGTACCCGGGAAAATCGGTACAGGTGCATATCCCAGTGGCTACCGTTTTATTATTTCCTGTTTAGAGCGAGTCTTTATTTTTCCTATAGCCGGTAGCAGCTTCTTCATCTCAATTTTCCTCTCCAATCTCGATCTTCCATCTCTTACTCATCTTCAATGTCTTCATAGTTATTTTTTACGTTGGCTTAATATCCGGTGAATTATAAACGGCTTTATTCATGTATTATACCCAGCTAATTCCCGTGATTCTAACATTTGTTATCACATTCTTAGCGTGTATTATTATTATTATTATTATTATTATTGGTATTATTATTACTATCTTAAAACCAAGCGAAGCTGAATGTTTACTTCATACAGGTGTGAAAACGTCAGACGTACTATACCTACCGCACGTAGCGGTACGTGAATAATAAAATAATCCGTAATCTGTAATAATAAACGAAATATGTATAATCGTCTGTAATAGTCACATAGTCACTCTCTATGAGTAATTACCTCCCATTAGATGAGTCGGTAATCCGGAATTACAACCAAATATCGCGATAACTTATACTAAACAGTTTATCTTTAGCTTTATCTTCATGATTTATTATTTCATTTTTTTTTATCATTTGTTTATAGACAATTAAGTTCAATTATACTAGTTGAATTGGAATATTTTTTAATATTTTTAAGTGGTTTTTTATTTTTTCTCTCTTATCTCCACGTGTGAGGTGATAAAAATTAAGCCCTAATTAAATTTTAATTATTTCTCATTTGTTTTTTGTGAGAATACTCGACTATTTTTAGTGATGATTTTTTTTTAAACTCTAACACATAATTTTTTAGTTAATTTTGTAATGTAATGTGGTACTTGTTATTTCTTAACAAAATGTGGTGATACAGAGACACTTCTTTAATGGACATGGAAAAATCACAATGTCAAGGTCTCTAGACATTCATTTCTAATACCGTAATCGTATTGTAATTTATTTTAATTTTGAAGTATTTATTCTGAGTTATTGATTACGGATTACTATTTAGATTCATTCACGAAAATTTTTAGTTTTTTATTTTTTTAATCTGTACTAAATGAAATTTTAAATTAAATCTATATTATTGAGAGGATAAGAAAAATTTTGTGCCCGGGATAGTCATATGATAAAATCGGGTTTTTTTGTGAAATTTAGTGTCATTGCAAAGGTCTTGAATTTGTGCCTTTTCAAGGTTTCATATCATTCTCACTTATCAATTTATTATAAGTAATTAGGCTGCATTTTAAAATTCTCCATTTCTAGATACATAATTAAGAAATGACCTTGTATCTTGTGAACTATTGAAATTTTTAAAGATATAAGCTCATCCCGATGTTACACTCATCGAGACCTTTCATTTGAGTACCCACATCAATTTTTCATATATTTTATATATTTATATATATTATATATATGTATCTATGAAAAATATATCAAAGTGCCATGTGGGTACTTAAATGAAAGGTCTCGATGAGTGTAACATCAAAATGAGTTTATATCTTAAAAAATGTCAATAATTAAGAAATGACCTTGTATCTTGTGAATTATTGACATTTTTAAAGATATAAGCTCATCCCGATGTTACACTCATCAAGACCTTTCATTTAAGTACCCACATCA